GAGAGTGAAAAATGCCGGTAATGCCCAGCAGCCTGGTCTTTTGTTCGGAGTACGGTCTTTTGTTACAGGGCCCTCTTTCCTTTGTCCGAGTTCGGAGACCCTGGCCACGCATATAAACCATACGGTTTACATATGGAAGTGGTTAAAAAACCTCTTGCAACATTAGGTAAATGCTGTTAATGAGGTTTTCAAAGTGTGACGCTGTGGCAGACAAACAAACAAACAAACAGCATGGTACACACAGCTAGGATTACAAAGCCTGGATAATCTCTTCCACTGAAAAAAGAGGCAATGGATTTTTATTGGGGGGGGGGGAAGTGATGGGAAAACTACCGACCAGCTCCTGGATGGCCTTCTGCAGCTCCTTGGGAAGCTTGGATGGGACCTTGGACTCCAAGTTGAACTTGAATTCCTTCAGGGCTTCCTTGCGTTGGACCCTCCAAGGGTCATCCGGCACCAGGTGGTACTTCTTGGCAACCTTCTGAAAGCTGGACCATCAAACAAAAGGAGATGATTGGCACAGTGCCAAGTCACTCAGTGCATCCTGTAACCCCAAATGGGACCTTCCTCAATCCTCCTAGACGTCCTGGTATTAGTGACTGGGCTCTATGTTCCTCAATCCTGCAAACTTCTCCTGGCTCCCGAACTGTCCTTATAGGGTCTATGTATTCCTTTGTTTAATTAACTACTAACTTGGAAAATGCACCGTTAATATGGGCACTTCACAATAGTGCGCCTCATCTGTCGAACCAATGTGTGTTTGAAATCTTCGATGAACCTTATTTCTTTATTCTGATATCTTCAGAGGTATATAGGAGTTACTTTTATTTTTATGCAAATGCAAAATTCGATGTCCATGAGCAAAATTGATGTCACGTCAGGGAAAAAACTTTAATTTTAAAACTTTAATTGATTTGTGCAGAAGAAACTGCTGGAATTTCTGATAGTTTTCTGTTCCAAGTTTCCTTTTCTTGGTGATTTATTGGTGTTTGAGTTCATGACAATAATATGAGCAACCCCTTCTCAGAAATGTCTTCAATTAACACATTTTGGGCTCACAAACTCAACAGAAAAACCCCTACACAAGGCAGTGTCTTTCCTGATCAACGTCAAAGCAACAGCCCTCTCTGTTGTCTGGAAAAGCATGGACAATTTAAAACGTTTAAAAAGAGAAAGTCTCTTTAAAAACTTCATCAGCGGAACCAACAGGATCTAGCAGACCATGGGGTTGACGAACACAAATCATCAAAACATCAAGAAAGTCCCCTCATCAGGCAACATTTCCTGCATGAGCCAGTAAGCTGGGGCCCACTCACTTCTTAACGTCGGCCCAGTGGTTGGCAGTCTTGGCACGGAAGATCTTCTGGAACTCCTTGACAGCTTCCTGTCTGCTGCTGAATGGGGTACGTTGGTACTGCCCCTCCTCACCGATGCGACCCCATCGTGTGAACAGCAGGATCATATCCTTGCCAGTCTGGTGAATGATCTGGAGAAAAAAAAACAAGGTACCATCATTTTCTAAGCAGCACTATCAATCTAATCTCTGTGAACACAATACTATGTTTAGTTACATAACTGTTGCAACAAAACTGTACCACAGGAGATGTATCAGTAATCAACTACAACAGAACCCCAAATGTGGAGCATTTCATCTTTTACCAAACCTTCCTTCTGTGTCGCCAAACTTTTGGGGTCTATAACTTAGCCTGTTTGACAACTGTTCACAGTCTGCAACATTTAGGATAAATCACCACTCAGGAATACAACACAGTAAAAAAAGAAATCTGTGCCACATCAGGGAACATGTAATACTGAGCAGGACCTGTCATTCTCTTGTGCCACAACATGAAGCAAAAAAACAATGCTCGGCCCACAAAACTGAAAGAAACTTGCAACACCAATAGCCTCCAAACACAAAGTATTGGACAATACATAACTTCACCTAAGTGAGCTGTAAATTGACTCTCGGCTGTCGGCACCACATGCCGGCAGTTTAATTTTTGTCTGACGCTGTGGCTTTTGAATTTTTGTTTGAGCGTCAACTCATGGTGCCTTGAGAGTTGAGATCACAGCTACGCCCTGCTTGTAAGAAATTGCTGAGTATATTTGCCATTGTCACAACTCAGGTGCAGCTCATTACTGGAGAGTCAGTCTCTGACTGTTCTGTGTTGTCACAAGTTCAACTGGGGCTTTTTAGGCCTCACCAAAACCACTGCAGCAGAGCCCTCAGAGTAAAGTGTTCACAGCTTTTTACCGAGGCGTTTTCCCTTTCTTTACATGCTCTCACTCTTCCATTAATAGGTCAAGGTCAATTCCGGGTGATTATCTTCGGCCTGATGTAGGTGATCAACTCTTTCCTGGGGTGTGTTACCGACATATTAGATTGAAAAATTCCAACTCAAGTGTATCCAAAGAGATTGTAAATTTTAAAAAAAAAATTTGTTTCTCAGGATGGAGTTACACTGCTACTCAAAGATGTATGTTCTGGCTTGCACACCTGCATTTTGTAGAAGTTGTTCATCCCGTAGGTCCCGTGTCTGACATCTACTCGTGTCAAGGTGGCATTGAAGGGCACTCCTAGTTCTTCATCCATAAGGACCACCCTGGTGAGTGACAAGTGAAGAGAATGATCAAAGTTGCAGTTTGCTTTCACA